GTGAGCATCAAGGAATACCGGTTTAATAGAAAAAAGTATTCTTGCATTGAGGGAGTACTTGAGTGGAGGCCCAATGTCCATTTGCTACTTTAACACTAAACCTATAAATATATGCACATAGATCTATTTACCCATTGCCATATATAAATATATTTACCATGCGCATGCCTTTATTTGTACCTCTATAAATGACCTTTGCCGCCTAGTTCTTTCCTCTATTTCCTTTTACTTTCCTCTTGGCCCACTATCATGCTCAGTGTTTGCTATTTTCATTCCTCCTTTCCTAACCCTCTGAGCTTTGTCCATGGATAAAGGTTGCCCTTTAGATCTTGAATGGTTGTTATTCCAACACCGGGGTGAGTTCAGTTCCAGACCTGAAGGGTGACTAAGGGCCATAGCTTTGGGGGAGTCCCACCAATCTCTGTTTCATCAGTATTACTGGTCTAAAAGAGTAACTCTTAAATGGGAGTTCACTAAAAAAAAAAAAAAGGGGGAGTTCACTGATTAGTCATCTTAATCTGTATACTTGTTCATTTCATATTATATGCAGAAGCCTTAATATATTTTTGAATAATTTGCTTAAATGTGTCATTTCATTCTTACTAACCCTATCTGCTTATTCTTCTATAATAAATCAATTTGCTAAGAAAAATTAATTTGCTAACTTTTTGAGACTTTGGAATATAATAGGACTGAGTTATAGAGCTGGAAGGAATCCAAAGGGAAACTCACTGGCATGGAGTTTATGCCAACTCATAGTGACCCTAAAGGGCTGGTAGACCTGCCCTTGAGTTCCCAAGCCTATAACTCCTCATGGGAGTAGAAAACGCCATCTTTCTCCTGGGGAGTGGCTCCTAGATTTGAACCGCTTATCTTGCAGTTAGCAGCTCAATGAATGACCACCAGGATGCTATCTTTAGCTACTTAGAGCCTCATAGTTCATCTCCTTTCCCTCCTTTAGGAAGAGAGATGGAAATTATTTAGAAACTTCCAGGAGGAAAACTTGGAGGAAAATCAAACCCTCTAGTCCACAGGGAAAGTGATGGTTCCCTGGCGATCTCCTGTGGCTCTTCAGATTCATCAGCGTGTGGAGATCCTCCACAGGGAATCACAGCAGAAATCAAGGTCCTTAAAAACAAGTACAAACTCTATTGTTTGGGATGGTACTAGAGGACCAGTCCAAAGGCACCTTCCCACCATTTAATTTCTATGACGCATTTCTTCTAGCAAAAGGACAAAAGGAGAAATGTTAAAGACACACATAGCTCTGTGGGGCTCAGATACAACACTAAACTATGAATTAGAATATTTCTTAGGACTAGTTGGGAACAGAGTTGCACTGCTGATATGCGTAAGTGAACTGCTCGTTGAAATTGGCAGACAAGAGTTAAAGAGATTTCAACCAGACAGATTCTCACATGATGGCAGCACCTTGGAATTCCCCCCAATCCAGACCTGGCCCCATGAGGTTCAGAAGATGGATTTGGTCAGTGGGTCCTGATGGCCACTTTCTTAAGAACAGGTTCCTGGGTGAATAAAAGGAACCCAATCGCTGAGCCAGAAGGTTGGTGTCCTCATTCATGACTGAGGGCACATTCTCTGAGACCAGACTGTTGGCTTCCTAAGTTGGAAAATTCTCCATGGAAAAGAACAAATAAATTGCATTTTAAAATTTGAATAAATGAATGAAGCAACGAAGAACCATTCTCAAGATTAGACATTGTATAATAATGAGGATGCAGATGAATAATGATGGCAGAATTTTAATTTTGGTATTAATGGAAATTATAGATTTAACTTTAAGTCAAGAGCCCTATTATTAGTCATGATCTTTTAATAGGAGACATTTCTAGAAACACAGAAATAGAAGAAGAGCATTAAACATTAAATACCACACTAGATAAACCAGGACCCAAATGAGGGCATACGTATAATAACTGTCTCTTTTCCAAGGAAATTTGTGGAAAAAAGGTTGAATCTTGTCCTACTCGATGTTTATTTTCCAAAAATTTCTTTATTCTTAATAACCTGGTCCTACCAGGGCACTAGAATATTAAGAAAGCAGTAAGTGAAGTGTCTGCCTTTCCGGAACATTAACTTGTATTTGTTGGTAATTTTATGTTAAAATATTAGTGACAAAGATAGTAATAATCCTTGTAAATTTAATTTTCAGAATTGTAGAACTAATATCACTGGAAAAGAAACTACCAGGATAGAATGTCACTACATTCTGTTACTATGTAGGTTCAAATAATTTCTTATACATCTTCATAATTTTTCACCCTGCCCTCGCCACCCCCCAAAATATACTACCTCAAAGTGGAAAAACACTGTACTCTTCTTAGACATTAATCATAGAAAATGATACAATATGAATTCTACAAGAGGTATAAATAATATTTCAATTTACTATAGATATTTAAGAATGGATCAATGTAGCTCCAATGAGTTTTTATTGCAATAGATAGAGATCTTTGACAGATATATTTTAAGTATGACTTATGACGTCAAAGAATACACGGAAATAGATTTCTCATACTTGAGAAACTTGAACTACTTGTAGTTCTCTCATATTTTCTGTTTTCAGATGCTAGGCAACTATTTTAGAGAAGGCAATGTTGGCTGATGTGCCAGAAAGATCTCGGGAGAAGCCCAGTGCAATAGCAGTTTATTTCTCTCACATGAATTCCAATTTGTGACGGGGACTGGGATAAGCCTCTGTTCCATTCAGTCAGTCAAGAGACCATGGCTAATCCAATGATGCCATATTTAGTCTGTGGCATTTAGCTTTTCCTGGACATTGTTAC